ATTCCTGCATGTAATATAGGGAAGTGAGTCATGGCGGCTTATAGTTCATCTTGGCTTGTGGCATGGAAGTTGTCCCGATTTTTATTTTTTGCAAGAATTTATCACTGAAAGAATTCACCCTGCAGGGCAGGAAATCTCTTCTAGGACCAAAGGAATTGTGAAGCCCCAGAAATGCATATGTATTAACCAGAAAAATGTGTCCTGTTAGTTTTCCACCCCTGTGTTGCTTAAACACTTCAGCAGTAACGGGTAGAGGTCATCTGGAGTACAAGGTTTCAGCCTTATTGACCACAAGAAGGTGCTAAACGGTCCTCAGTCCAGTTGCCTCCATGCTGAAATAAGTAGGACTTGCCCAGTTGTTACCTGCTGAATTGGTGGATGTTTTCTCATAAGGAAACCAAATAAATAAACCGTTCACTTCTTTTAATAGTCCTAGGAAATGAGAATTTCCTTTTTTTGCTATTTTTGGTAGGTGCAGGGGACCCACGGGTGGAAACGTTCACGTTCAGAGCAGCCGCATTTCTTCGCCTTATCTTCTTTTCCAGCTTGTCACCAGAGGGGTTACTCCGTTTCAGTTGTGACGGCCGTATATCAGCCAGCATGTTTCTAAGCGGCCGGGTGCTGCTGCTGTCATTTATTTTCCTTTTCAGTGAAAAGTCAGCCTATGTCATCTGCCAACATCTGGAACTTTTGCATCGACTGCATTTTTAGCATAGCAGCAAGCAGTTTGCAAAGAGGCCGCTGCAAGTCCACAGCAGGATTTAGGTTGGCAATTCCCTACGCCATATTCTGAATGTTTTCCCTGACAAAGGGGATCCTCGTGTTTATCAAAAACACTGCCTTACTTAGTCACAAGTGGGGGTTTTTTTTAGTTTTTTGTTGTTTTTTTTGTTTTGTTTTGTTTTTTTTTCCATGTGGTTCACTTACTAGTTGATGCAACAGCCAGAGAACTGATTCCTCTTGGATTAAAAAAAAGTGCTGTGTATATACAGCAGTTCAGCCTGGAGTCGGGTAACGCCAGGACGGATTACCCTGCACAAAGACGGCTTGAGCCTGTTTACAGCACTTCTGCTTCACTCCTGGTAGAAGCCTAATGTAGTTCACACTCAGGTAGGACCTGTGGAGCTCGGGAGAAAACGAGCGCAGAGGGAAAACAATATTAACCTACTGGTGCTGGGCCCTGGCTCTTGTCCAGCGGCTGTGTTGTTTTGAGTTGCGGGCTAAATGCTTGGCCCGAGTCCAAGAGGATTGCATCTTCTAAAGCATTTGCCTTTTGGCTGGAGATAACTCAGCGCAAGCGGGATGTGTAATCCTCGAGTCTCACGTGTCCTGGGAGACTCCCCACGTGAGTAAGTCTCAACAATAGGCAGACACAGTTCTTTGGGTAAATGTGATACGTTTTATTAAACCAGCGAAATAGTTGGAAAAGTTGTTCTTTGCAAGCTTTTGAGTCTCGGCAATAAGCACGCACGCTAAGTTGTTCCCTTTCTGTCTCTTGCTCTCGCGTCGCTGCCACCTCCAGCATCGTGAGCGTGAAGGAAACCCGACTGACCAGCCTCGTGGCCAACTTCTTGGTGGGGCTTTCGCTCTTGCTGCTGCCTTTCCCTCTGCAGTGGATCCCGAAGCCAGTCCTCTACGGCCTCTTCCTGTACATCGCCCTGACCTCCATTGACGGGAATCAGCTCTTCGAGCGAGTGGCCCTCTTGCTGAAAGAGCAGGTACGTGTTCGCTTCGGTGAGCTAGAGCTTGGGTACGAAGCTCTTCCCCGACACGGCTCCTCCTGTTTCGAAACCTCGCCATTACATAGCCCTCGATTGCAGGTTTTAGACACCTTCTCATGCGCACATCATGGACGCTGCCTAGTATGTGCAGCCGCAACAATATTTGCAGGATAGTATGCCTCCATGGGATTCCCACTCTCCCTCTGCTAAATCTGACAGGCTTATATGCTATATATGCTATATGCTGCTTGCTTTCAAGGAACTTCTCTTGTGTGCCCTGCCCTTTTTTTTGTATTTCTCATAGTTTTTCTTGTAATATTGTTGATCATGGGCAAACAAGGCAAGAAGCCTTTCCCAGCTTGAATCCCATCTCACAATACAGGCTTCATGTTTGATTCCCTCTGCCTTGCTCTGAACCTCTAGGGATAAATTAATAGGCTTATATGCCTAAAGCATTATGCCCCTAAATCACTTTGAGCCTTTGGGCTGCAGTGTGTTTGACAGTCAGTCAAGTCTGATTCTCCAACATGAGCATGCAACTCCTGGTAAAGAAATTAAAAAGCCGCATTTGGCCTAGCAACTTGACATCCTTTTAAAAAAAAAACCAACAAAAAAATGGGCAAAATGGCCCAATGTAAAAACACATCTCTGTGCTGTGTAGTATTAAGTGCTTGTAAGCCTTCAGGACAGACTGAGGACTTTGAGCACAAATGCAAAATGAAGAACGACTATAGTGATGGGCATTCAGTTGAGCAGGCTTCCCTCGATGTTGGAAGTCCATCAGGCCAGAAATGGGCTTGCCCGTAAATTTTTTTTGGTTCTCCAAACGACTTGGGAAACCTAACCTAGTCTTTACAGTTCTTGCCCCTTTCTCCACAGATGCAATTGTTTCTCTCCAAAAACATGTCAGCTGCTAATGAGATGCATAGGCCGCGTCCAGACACGCGTGGATGTTTCACTCCCCAGGGAAAATTAGAGGTGGCACAGCTTGCCCTGGGGAATGCCCATGCCACATGTGCTCTGTGTGCCAAGTTGCCCCGGGTGGGGTAGGGGAGGCTGGGGCTAGCACTGGTCTGACCCCAGCAGCCTTACCTGGGGTCCAGGGGCTGCAGCAGTGGCGAGCCTGGCCAGGAGCTGAGCGTAGCTCTCGCTGGCCAGGCTCTGGCTTTGGGCAGCTCATGGTGCCGCCGCGTGCGCCACTCTTCTTTTTTTCATGGGTTTTTTTTACCCCTGTGGCATCCACAGAGGTAAGAAAAGTCCCTGCCCAAAGGGATCTTAACAAAAACAGATACACAGGAATGGAAAAAATAAAGACAGCAGTTTAAAAAAAAAAAAATAAAAAAAATTAGTAAATAAATGGTGGCCAAAGAGCGATGGTCAGGCCATTGCTTGGGACTTGTTTAGTATTATTTTGACTTTTTCTTTGTTTTTACCTTTACAATACAACTGGCTTAAATTTTGCCATTAACTGCTTTTAAAATAAGGCCTTTGGAAACTCCATATGCTGCTCCTCAAGCAAATTTCCCCTTCCCAGAGCGTGCGTAGAAGTGACAAGCTTTGAAATGCATTTCTCCAGAGCGCAAAGCATGGTGGATTATGCTTGTTTCTTGTATTGAAGACCAACTATAGTGCCTGCTGAGTAGAAAACTATAAAGAAGCTCTTCTCTTTATTGAGAGAGAAGCCAGGCCGGAGATACAGTGCAAACTATTCAGCTGCGGCGACGGCGGAGTTGGGTTAACCCTCTCATAGCTGTAGCTGTTGGCTGAGCCCTGCAGCTTGTGCCTGAAGCAGCAAAGGAGCTGCTGGTAGTATTTTGATGAGGCTTGTGATACGGAAACAGCACTTTATTATCAGGAAGTTGTATAAAGAACTAACAGGCTTGCTACTGCCCTTGCACGGGTCTGGGCTGTCACCTTCTGTGACATAGAAGTACTTCTCCTGGAAACAGTGTCCAGGAGCTGTGGCATCCCAGGAGATTAGCTGCCTTGCCCACACTGTCTTAGAAACTTCCTGGTGCCACACTTTCTGGATCCTGTTCCCAGGAGAATTTACTGTCACAAATTCAGCCATGAGTGGTTTTTAAAAAAAAAAAAAATTTTTTTTTTTTTTTTTTTTTTTTCCCCTACATCCTACCTTCCAGTGCATGTTTTATCTGGGGATGTGTTGTATGCGGGAATGTATGGCATCATAGCAATACCAGATGCAGGTCAGTGAACTTGAAGAATAAATGAAACTAATGGCAGAGCAGAACATTGTTTAAACAAAAGTTTTAATGATTGAATTGTGAATGTAAATATGCTGGATGTGTATATGTGAAACAAATTAAATGCAGGTTTTAAGCCAGCAGGTCAAAAATAAGTTGCTGTTTCAGTTGCTTGTTAAGGCTCTGTCTATGCTATGGGTCATGCAGACTTATCAGGGCCAGCTTAAACTAGGGAGCTTGGGAGCTGATACCATTTACAGCATCAGTTTGCGCTGGGGCTGCATAATCTGACTAGGAAGCTGATTAAATGCTCATGCAGTTAATGAAGAGCTCAGCGTAGGCTCGTGTCGCTACACTTCTATGGGACTTGAGCTGACCGATTTTTAAAGCTAGCTTGAGTCTTCCTAGATGAGCTGCAGCCCGGATGTACCTTAAGTCTTGATTTTGGTATTACGTTCCTTAGCAGTAGATGAGGTATTCCTGTCCTGATTTAGGTGACAGTGAAGTCATCTATCTTTGCGAGCAAAAATCTGCACCACCTTCCTCAAAACTTGACATCTTGACGTGTCAAAATTCTTCAGTTCACCTTTTTTGTGGAGCGCTTTCAGAAACCAATTATGCTTCGCGGGTAATAAGTAGGTAGCTGACTTCCACGGTCCAGCGCTGTTCCAGATTGCTCCTGGGGAGAGCCGATTTGAAATTCTTGGATCAGCTTTGCTTTGGAAAAATGGAGCTTTATTGAAATGGAAACCATTTCTTAAGACCGCACCAATTTCACCGGAACTTTTCACCAAGTGAAAGTCTATAAACAGTTTGCTTCTACGTTCCCGCTCCAGTATCAAAACCGTTTTCACGTTGCCTTGTTAGATCAAAATGTTTTTAGGTATTTTTACGTAGATTAATGAAACGTCAGCAGAGTAAACGGCTTTTGTTGCACCGTTCCAGGATGGAAACATTGGTTTTGATGTGGATCGAGAATGAATTTTGACATCCCACGTTTCTAACCAGTTCAACCGACAAGCCGAGCTGGTCACTAACTGCTGCTTGTTACTGCCCTTCCTGCTTGTCTACCCTTGATGTGATAACCAGGTGCAAATCTTGGGTTCCCTGGCAATACTCCTATAGTCTTCCAGAAGCCCAGAAATTGGGCCTCGAGGGGAAGACCGCCCTAATTTTATTTGATGTCTCTTATCAAAACCTATGGTTACCTGGGATTTCCAGGTATTATGGATGTCATTAAGTATATTGA